AGTAGAGACGGGGTTTCACCGTGTTAGCCAGGATGGTCTCGATCTCCTGACCGTGTGATCCTCCTGTCTCGGCCTCCCAAAGTGCTGGGATTGCAGGCTTGAGCCACCGCGCCCGGCCCATCCATTCATTTTTAAAATGAATCTTGCTTGGGACTACAGGCCCCAGAATGGAGATAGCACTTCCTCCTGCAGGAACCAGGGACCACCTGACTCTCTTGACACTACAGAGCCTGCCTTCCGTAGCCCCTGCTTGTTGGGTGCTCCTAAATGCAACCTTTGTGGCCATTCTTAGCATGCAGTGTCCTCCCTCAGGCTGTGAGCATAGGTGGGGCTAATGATCTACTGTTGATTTCATCCACCCAGAATTAACGTCCTGTGTTTTGCCATCCCCACAGCCCTAGGGTGGGAATCCTTTTCTTATAAACGAGGTAAACAGGAGGCAATTAAAACAATAAAAAAATTTAAAGGAAAGTTTAGTGTTCATAAATGTGTTTAACATTAAACCACCGATAGTCTAGAAGCAGCCTTTGAAACTTCTGTAATTTGGAATAGACTTTGGAGCAGCCTTTTACACTTTGGAAGCAGCCTTTTAAACTTCTGTAATTTGGAAGTTCTGTAGTTTGGAAGTTCTGTAATTTGGAATAGACTTTGGAGATGAATCATAATGGCTGAATAGATGCAGGTAGGTGTCCTCCACAGAGAAAACCAGAATAGCAAGTAGATACTCACATTTCAAACAAATGGTCTAGGAGAGAATGCTGGGGTTCACCAGAGAAGAGATAGGAAGCACCAGAAGTAAGCAGAGGGTCCGAGGCAGCTTGCCCGCCTGGGATTGACTGAGCTGGGAGAGACTCCTGGATGTGGGGGGGCAATAAGAGGGACAGCCCCTGGGCTCCACACTCCCAAACGGGCTTTTATAGTCTTGGCTATGGGAGAAACACCGGACTCACCAGGGCCTCAGGCCTGACATACGAAGCTGCCTAAAGATGTTGCTCCAGAAAGGGAACCCACACGCACTCCCACAGGCATCTGAACCCTGGGCAGCCTCAGATGGGCACCATTTTGAGCCCAGACGTCAGGTATCTACGGACAGCTGCTGCCACTGTGCTGCTGCAAGAAGGCAGAAGGGAGACCAGGCACTCCCACGCACCCCTGGGAGGGTCACTGCCGCCCTGCCGAAGGCTGCAGTTGAGACTTAGACGTGAGCAGACTGCATTCCCCATAGCTTCTTGCCCATGCTGCTTGCGTGGGAGGGACCTCAGCCTCTGTGGTTGCAGGCCCAAGGTGCAGTTTTCATAGTTGAAGTTCAGGCTGTGCCCCACCCTTGGCCTCAGTTAGAGTTGACTTGGCTGCAGCTGTGGCCCGGTTTAGGAGGGACAGGGAGTCCAGGCTCTCCTATACATACTCAGGATAATACTCAACACCCTGCTGTGGGATGATGCTTTTCTAGGAGGGGTCTCTGTCTTGCCTGGTCACAAGCCCACAGTTGGCACCATTTTAAGTGTTTAACACTTGGCTGTGCCCCGCCCTCCAGGTGAGTTTGAGGTGATG